TAGCTAAAACTAAAAACTACTTCCAAAAACATTCAGCTTTGATATTAATGAGTTTTTTGGGTTCATTGAGAACATGGTTGTTGTTCAATAATATTATTCCTCAAAAATACAACTTGCCTAATAATTCTGCACTCCCTGTAAAATGCCACTATGGCATGGTGAGCATATTAAATATTTTGTCCGATTGTCATGTTATACACTTGTACTCCGGAAAGTGAATTAGAAATCATTTTATTATCAATTAAAGTAAACTGTACACTACTTAAAAATTAATTGGTATTTTAAAGTCAGTCAGAAACAAAAAACGTCTGTAGCGAAGATCTAGCTCATCGTGAGGTTAGTGGACGTTTGAACACAAAGCGCACTGAGTGCATCTTCACCAAGAACAGTGCAAAGCGTAGACTGAACCACTGATGAACCTTAAAAAGTGAACAAGTTAACATTGTTTCAGTTAGTTACATGGAGCCAAGTTTCGTCTTTAAAGTTTAAAGCTGCTAAAAGGTCAGTGTCTCGATGACAGCGCCTTCATCCATGCCTCTTTCTCCGACCTGTAATTTAAAAGAAGGCCATCAGATGGTGAGGGGGACTCCAACAGTGGATGTAAGGACTTACAGATTTTATTAACTCTTGCCTTGTGTCTGTAGCAATTATCATTGCAGTCGGATGTCCTGTTTGAGTTTTAGAGAGATGTAGCAGGAAGGAGTATGAGGGCAGACCCAGGACTTCAGTCTTCACAGGCTGAACGCTCACGTGTTCTGGGAATTGAGCATGGTCCATTACTTTAAAGCGCTCATCTCTGAAAGGGATGAGGGGGGGGAAAAAAGTAAGATTAGAAGCACATTTCCAATGTGGATCATAAAGATCCTATTTTTTGTTGACTTGCAGCAGCTTGGACTGTACAGAGACTAAAAAGTTTGATTGCTAGGATTGCTAGTCAAATACTTTTTCATAGAGACGATCAAAAGGTCATTGAAGAGGTGGAGGTAGACGCCAACGAATGACATTCTTAAGTTATAAGTGCTCTCCTTGGTCAGCTGTTTCAGGGCTCCGTGGTGCACCAGGAAACGCTTGCTTGTGACCATGGGAACTGACTGGATGGATGAAGAAGACGCACTCTGTTACTGCTGCAGGTTAAAGAAGACCACTTTGTAGTCTATTAAAAACATTTGTGTCATCACCTTAACTTTTCCGAAATCCAGCAGCATTTCGAGGCAGACCAGCTCCTCAATCTGTTTCATTTTTCTGACCCCCTTGTCACACTCTGTCACTATCTGGGGTCAGAGTAGTGCAGTTGTAGAAGAATTAGGCAGATTTTTCACTTAAATAAAAAAAGCTGTCAATACTGAAGTGCAGAAATTCTGTTGCAAGTAAAAATTGCATTCAGATTGGCAAGCATAACATTTTTATTTTTAAACAAGATCAAGTATAAAGTAGCAGAAAATGGAAAGTGAATCTTTTTCTCTCACCTGTCTTGGCATGAGTGTACAGATCTGAAAAGCATTACCTCATGAATGGCGTCTATTGCTTTTTTAAGGTTTGAAACTGAGTCAGAGTCCGGCTCAGACAGTTTCAGGATGCTCTGAAATGAAAGAAAACAGAAACCTTAGCTAATGGAGCAAAAATCGGTTTAACAGTTCAAATCTCATCAGACGTTTACCTCCAGCAGAAGCTTGATGCGAGTAATTCTCTGGAAGGGAAGGACGAGGAAGGACTTGAGGGTCTTTCTTTGACACACCGGGTCACTCTCGAGTTTCTTCAGGGTATACAGAAAAATTCTGTTGTGCTGCCTTGAAAAGGGAACATTTAACAGTTTGCATTGCGAGGTGTTGAGAATGTATTTGTATTCTGAAATACAGAGTACACTTACAGCTTTTCGTTGATAAGGGCTTCTTGGTACATCATATTTGTCACATACGGCACATAGAGAGTTTGGAAATGTTTGCAGTGCTGGAGGACGACGTCGCCAACCTGAGGGATCAACACGTTCTCTCCCAGTCGGCTTTCCAAATCCGTAAGAAACCTAAAAAGACACCAGGAGCCCAACTAAGTTAAAACATCAGGACAACCTGTCCATATATACAACAAGGTGCTACGTGTGGAGCTCTCACTTTTCACTGGCCACCATCACGTGTTGAATTTTGGAAAACAAAATGTGATGTTCTGTTTGAGACAGAGTCTGCTTGAGTTCCTGCGACTTATAAAAGTGATTCACGGCCACGCCGAGGCTCCTTAGGTAAGATGCTTCTGAGCCGATGAGCTCGAACATGGTCTTTAGAGGAAGAAAAGGAGGAGGTGGGGGGTTATTGGCAGTCAAACAAAATTTAGACTGCTTTATCTCCAACGAAGGTAATAGTGTTTCAAAATACCAACCATGTCAACAAATTCCATAAAAACCAGAAAGAGCAGCTCCTGTTGCCATACAATTAAATCCTGATGTCAGCACAATATTTTTTAAGCACTCAAATGAACTGAAAGGAATTACCTAAAAATCCAAAATATACCTATAAAAGGACTTCTTTTTGCAGTTCCCCTTATTTTAAATTTCCTGGTAATAGTTCTTAACCATTGCTGTGGATTAATTGAGCTCACTCTGGTTTTCCAGTTTGAGTGGCCTGTTTAAGGTCACTGCAAAGCATCTCAATCTGATTTAAGCCCAGACTTTGACTACGCCGATTCAAACCTTTATTTGATGCTTCTTTCTTTCTGGACATGAACTGATGGCTGGACATTCTCCTTCAGGATTTTCTGGAAGTCTTTAGAATTCATGAAGATTTTGGAATTATTCCAGAAGATACCTGAATTAAATAGTTCAGCTTTTGTCTCAGAGAATATTTTCCCAAAAGTCTCGAGGATCATCAACATGTTTTTGGCAAATGTGAGATGAGCCTTTGTGTTTTCTTGGGGGTCCGCAGTGTTTTTGTTTTGCCTTGGAATTCTTTCATGGATGTCATTTTTGCCCAGTCTTTCTTAATGCTGAATCATGAACACTGACCTTTAAGGAGACAATTGAAACCTGCAGTTCTTTAGATGTTATGGGTTCTTTTGTGGCCTCTTAGAGGAGTTGAAGCGCTCTCGGAGTAATTTTGGAAGGTTGACCACTTCTGGTAGGTTCACCACTGCTCCAAGTTTTTACCATATATGGATATTGGCTCACTCTGTGATTTGCTGGAGTCCCAAAGCCCTTAGAAGTGGCTTTGTAATCCATTCCAGATGTCGGTTTTTTTAGTTTGTGGCCTGACATGCTGCTTTTTGACATCTTTCATCTTATTTCACTATAAATCAGTTTTTAAGTAATTTCTTGATTCATCAGGTCTGGCAGTGATAGAGTCTAAGATGTGGCTAGTGAAACTGAATTAAGGTTTCCACAAAAAAGGGTGGTGAACACAATTCATGATTTCCCAAATGGAATTACTTAATTACTTTTTTACAGGACTGTACATTTGCAGTCAAACATACGCTATACAGGTAAAGACTGAAATGTTGCGATCGAACAAACTTGATGCAGGCATATTTAACTTCATTAAAGATCCTAAGAGCAATATGAACACTTATGCTCTGCTTCATGAGTGTGATTATAATGTGCCTTCCAGTTTAGTTAAATTGCATGCATCATCTCTAATACATGAAACAGCTTTTTGTTTTTTTACATTTTTGCACACCTCTTGAAGGTGAATCTCTCT